GGAAAGAAGACCCTGTTGAGCTTGACTCTAGTTCGACTCTGTGAAATGACTTGAGAGGTGTAGAATAAGTGGGAGCCTTACGACGCAAGTGAAATACCACTACTTTTAACGTTATTTTACTTATTTCGTGAGGTGGATCCGGCTCTGCCCCTGCTTCTCGATCCAAGGTGCAGGCCCTCGTGGCMTGTCCGATCCAAGCGAAAGACATTGTCAGGTGGGGAGTTTGGGTGGGGTGGCACATCTGTTAGAAGATAACACAGGTGTCCTAAGATGAGCTCAACGAGAACAGAAATCTCCTGTGGAGCGAAAAGACAAAAGCTCATTTGATTTTGATTTCCAGTATGAATACAAACTGTGAGAGCATGGCCTATCTATCCTTTAGCGTTTCAGGACTTGAAGCTAGAGGTTGTCAGAAACATTACCACAGAGATAACTGGCTTGTGGCAGCCAAGTGTCCATAGAGACGTTGCTTTTTTATCCTTCGATGTCGACTCTTCCTATCATTGTGAAGCAGAATTCACCRAGTGTTGGATTGTTCACCCAGCAACAGGGAATGTGAGCTGGGCTTAGACTGTCGTGAGACAGGTTAGTTTTACCCTACTGATGCACCGCCGTCGCAATGGTAATCCAACCCAGTACGAGAGGAACCGTTGGTTCGCACAATTGGCAATTGTGCTTGGCTGAAAAGCCAGCGGTGCAAAGCTACTGTGCGTGGGATTCTGACTGAACGCCTCTAAGTCAGAATCTGTGCTTGCAGCGACGGCGTATGCCTCCTCGGACGACACAAGGCTGTCGATAGGGCTAGCCTGTCTGGCCCCGGAAGCATAAGTTCGGAGTTGTCCCTCCTGCGGCGGAGCACCGACACCCTGGGGGTCTCTTCATCGCAATTTCTTTCGCTCGGGGAGTCAAACCCTTTGCAGACGACTTAGACAGGGAACGGGGTGTTGTAAGCAGTACAGTGGCCTTGTCGTCATGATCTGTTGAGATTCGGCCCTTTGTTCCAAAGGTTCCCCTCACCTTCTGGCTCCCCATCCCTCCTCAAATGTTTGAACGACGGTCATCTGCGTTTGAAGAGAGTCGTCGCCCTTGTATAGGGGCCAATGAGCTGCTTGCTTTTTTTTTTTTTTCCTTTTTTTTTCCCAGTTTTGCTGCTTCCGTCTGAAGCCCCTTTTGCCCGATGTGGTACTCAACTTTCGGCTCAAAGGAGAACTGTGCCTGAGCCCATGTTGGGGTAGGTGCCACGTTGTAAGCTTCTAGCCTCTGCTGCGCGCCATCTGTCCGAAAGCATGGATATGTGTCTGCGTGTCTTCCTGTACTTGACCCGGTGGGCGTTTATGCATGCCACATTGTCTGATGTCGCCCGATACGGCCTGCCACTTTTGGCTGCACAGAGACCTGGGACCAAAGGCTGGATCAACATGAGTGCCACATTGTACACTTACTCACGATGTGGCGGGCGACATTTGTTTCAAGAAAAAAAAAAAAAATTATTCTTTAAGTATGCAAGGAAGATAAGTAACAGCGAGATGACAATTCCAGATCACACCATCACATTGAAAGCCAAATAGTCACACCGTGTCCAGAGAGCAGCATTGCACCAATAATTCACCAATGGAGGTTCATAGCACTGAAAACCAGTGTTCATGGAGAGTATGCTCTGTCCTCCCAACACAAGAGTCCAGTTCCTTCACACTCACACTTGGCGCTCAGCGCCCAGCCTACTCCTACACAGCTACTACAGACTACAAAAAGACAATGCAACTGTTGACATCAGCGGCAGCCCAAATTACTTGAAGATGTCGCCCATGCAGACCATCGCCAATACAAGGTATGTGCCCTCACGTTATCATCATCATCATCATCCTTCACCTATCCCTTGACTACACCACACCTGTCCTCTCTTTGACCCGAAGACCACCCCTGCGCTTCACTGTAGTCCAAGCCCACCAGCTATGGTGGCTGGGCTATGGCGCTGCCCTCAGCAGCGCCCTCCTCCTCTGCACGACCGCACGTGCTGCACCTCGCCTCTCAGCGCTAGCAGCAGCCTACGAGCATGAGCTCCAGCAGAGATGCCGCCAGCATGCGAGTGCTTGAACGAGGCTGCCTGGATAGAGCTCTTTCCTTTATGGAAAAAAGCTGGCCAACTCTCGCAGCCTGGCTGGGCTGGCCGGGGCCCAGAAGCTTCCGGAAGGCCCCAGGAGGCTGCCTGGATGCAGCAGCTACTAGGTTGCTGGGCCTCGTTCGGTTGGGCGCCCAACTATCTCTTTATGAGGTTGCGAATCACGCCCAGGGCCTGCATTCTTTGGAAAGGCCCGGTAGGCCGTGGAAATGTCTTCGGTGCTCGACCTGTGTTTCTTTCAACCAACTAGCGTGTCGCAACTGCCTGGACCCCAAATATGAAATTGACAGTCGAGGGTCTTTTGCAAAAAGCCAGGCCCGCCTTCACTTAGGGCGGGCACCTCCACCTTCACTTAGGGCGGGTAAGGCTGCAGACAGGGCCCCATAGGCTTACCAAGGACCCTGATCCTCACATTCCCTCCTCCTTAACTTCGTGAGTCTTCTGAGAAGTCTCTTATTTTGCAGGCATCTTCCCTTTCCGTTCTCTTTCATAGCCTACAATCACTTGAGGCGTTGTTCTCATGAGATCTTCTCGTATGAACCAGCGATCTTCCTTGGGATCGAGGTGATGTCTGAAGCTCACCCGATACTGCATTCTCGGTTTAGGAGGTCGCCTTCTGCCTGATGGTCGAGGAACAGGCATCACTCGATCCTCGACGATCTGGTCAATGTCCACTTCACCATCCATGGTTGGGGGCAGCATTGATCTTCGAGAGGGGAACCGGTCTGTGGCAGCAAAAGGTGCCAGCTTGGATGCATGGAAAACAGGATAAGTCCGCAAGTGTGCAGGGATGCGAATCACATATGAAGGCCCATCCGGTTGATCCCCTACAATATCTAAGATCTCCTAGGGCCCAAAGTACAATGGCATCAGCTTTCTTGAGATTCCTATCTCTTGACTCAGTTCAGATGACCTCACCCAGACTCTCTCACCTACCTGAAAGTTAGAAGGCCGTCTATGTTTGTTCTCAGATGCAATCATAGCATCTTGAGACTTCTTAATGTGTTCCACTACCTTCTCTAGCATATGTTCATACTTGATAGCGTACTCAATGCTGCCTGGGGCTACAGTGGGTTGCCTTTCTGGTAGCAGAAAGTCAAGCGCAGTTCTGGGTTTCCAAGCAAGATGTAACTGGTTGGGAGTCATACCCGTAGTACTGTGCACAACATTACTGTATAGGCTGGCGACGAGAGGTAACTGCTCGTCCCAGTCATCTTGACTTGGCTTAATATAATGCCGAAGCAGGTGCTGTACTACCCGGTTCATCTGTTATGTCTGGCCATTTGACTCACGGTGATTCCCTAAAGTCATATGGAGCTTAGTTCCCATTTGTTCAGCAGTTGCCTGCCACAGTTCACTGGTAAACCTTACATCCCTATCACTCATTATTGATGTGGGCAGTCCAAAATCCCTAACCCAGTGATCCAGAAATAGTTTGATGACATAATCAGTTTTCGCAGTTTCTGGCATAGCGATCAGTCTTGCATATTTAGTAAAGCGGTCCACTATCACGAAGATATGCCTCTTTCCAGACTTACTGGTCACGAGAGTATCCACGAAGTCCATGGACACACTTTGACCAGGACCTTCAGGAATCGGCAAGGGCTTGATGAACCCAAGTGGAGCCTAAGTCCTAGGTTTGTCCCTTTGACAGACCTGGCAAGCTTCAACATACCTTTTTGTATCTTGCATCATAGTGGGCCACCAAAATCTCTACAATAGGTTAGCTGAGGTCTTTTTATATCCAAAATGATCAGTTGCGTCATGACACTCCCCTAAAAATAAACTACGTAAAGACGCACTAGATGGGACACACAGTCTTTTATTCCCTGCCTTCTTAAGGAACAGCAAGTCATCTATCATCGTAAATTCATCCAAAGTCTTCTTGTCCTTAGCTTGGAATCTACGGATGATTTCTTACATGACTAGGTCTCCTTGATAGACTTCCACCAACGATCAAGTGAGTTCGTCAGATATGCCAAACTCAGTGACTAGCGCGCCCAGATAATCTGCCCTTCTTGATATCGCATCAGCCACCTTGTTGTACGTACCCTTGATAGGATCAAGTTGATAGTCATACATGTCTATCACTTGAATCCATACAAGCTGTGTCTTAATCCAGCGCAAAGTCTCATGGTCAGACCTCACATAGAAGAATCTTCCTAGGAGGTAGTGTCTCCAATGGACTAGCGCTCTGTATAGGGCGTAAAGCTCTCTCTCATACGTGGACTTAGCTAACTTTTGAGATGGCATCTTCTTGCTCATATACTCGATCGGTCTCAACTTGGGCCCTTCCTGTTGCGCAAGGACCACGCCTATGCCATATTGGTTGGCGTCTGTGGTCACAACAAACGGCTTGTCAGGATCAGGAAGTTTCAGAACTTCATAGTGTGTTAGAGCATACTTCAATTTCTTGAAGCTTGCCTCACACTCTTCAGTCCACTCCAAGTGGTGTTAAGTCGAGTTAGATCTGTTAATGGGGAAGTTATAGTACTATAGTTTTTCACAAACGGACGATAATAGCCCGTCATCCCCAAAAACGATCTGACCTCAGCAACAGTCTGAGGTCTAGGCCAGTCACATATGCTGGCCACCTTTGCATCTTCCGGCCTCAATCTATCTGCTGAAATTTCATGACCCAAGTACAGGATCTTGGTGCACTGGTGCTGTCTTAGGAGACCTAGCACTGTTTTTAAGTGCTCAGCGTGCTCCTCTACAGTCCTACTAAAGATGAGAATATCGTCGAGGTACACGACGATAAACTTGTCCAAGTAGTCATGAAAAATCATGTGCATCGCGTGCAAGAACGTACTAGGCACATTGCATAGGCCAAACGGCATCACCACAAACTCGTATAGACCGTACCTGGTCTGAAATGCGGTTTTGTGTTGATCCTCAGGTCTAACAACAATTTGATTGTATCCGGGCTTCAAATCTGTCTTTGTGAAGTACCGGCATCCCTGCACTTTATCCAAGAGGTCGTCAATGCGGGGTAGGGGCTCTGCGTTCTTAACGGTGATGGCATTGAGGCCCCTATAGTCAATGCACATCCTTAATGGACCTCCCTTCTTTGGGACAAATAACACTGGCGCACCGTAAGGGGAGGTACTAGGTCGTATCCATCCCTTCTCTGTGAGCTCCTTGAGCTGGCGGCGAAGCTCATCTAACTCCGCGAGAGACATCCTATAGATTCGTCCTCTAGGCACCTTACTACCTGGGACAATCTCTATCGCATGTACAACCTCCCTTTCCACCATGCCTGTGGGCTCCTCAAAAAGGTCTGAATATTGTGCGACGACTCTTTCTATCCTTGGGGGTGTTTTAACGGCGTCCCCTTTCTCAGAGACAAAGACTAGATACATGTCCTCTTCTCGATTCTGCTTATGGTAGTTATAGAAGGATGAAGCGCACATACACCCGTAGTTCTCTATTAGACTGCTAGCTTTATACTTTTGCAATCTAACAGTTCTACCATTGGGCAATTTGTGGATCAACACCTTTCTATCCCAGTTGAACTGAGGTTGTGAGACTCCGAGGTAGTACATGCCTAGTAGCATATTGAATGGTAGTTCGTCGCTCACCAGGAAAGAGATATTGTGGATCCCCTCCTCCATAGGAGAAGGTGCAGGCTACGTCCTTGACATAGTCCTTTACAACCATTTGGTGCTTGTTGGCTAGCGTAGAAGCTACATTTCTGCTAAGTCGCTGCACTTGGTTCCCTAAGCACAGTCTATCCACACAAGCACGACTGATGAAATTTTGTATAGAGCCTATGTCTGCGAAGGCGCCCACCTTGCGGGCACCTACATCTACTTCTACCACGAAATGTTCACCCTTTGGACCTCTACTGATCATCGCCCAAGAGTCCCTGGGGTCCTTCCCTGACCACTCAGTCTCCAACTCTTCTAGGGCCTCAGACACATCTCTCGAGCAGAGCGTCGGTGGGTCTGAATGCGTCTGTGGGGCGATACGTGGGTCTCTAGCCTTGGCCAATGCCTGAAGTGGGGAAGGCAACGTAACCACTTCAGCGTGAGTAAGAGCGGCTAACACTCCTACTGGCCCGAGGTGTTTCCCTGTGAGTTGCTCGCAGAAGCATTCCCAGGGTTCGAAGATAAACCCACCACCGTTGGTGAGGCTACCTTCGTGGTGACCTTCTTGCTGCGGCATGTCCTGGACGTGTGGCCATAGTTGCCACAGTTCATGCATGTGCCCCTGGCAACTCGGTCCCTCCACACCTCGTAGTCCAAACCAAGCTTCACCCATGCGGGTGTCCCTTGATCTCCCTGACCCGTGGACCGTCCTACCTGTGTCCCTTGATCTCCCTGACCCGTGGACCGTCCTACCTTCTTCTTCCCGGTCCCCCTAGCCTTTTCTTTGATGGGGGTCACGACTCCACCATCTGAAGTCTCACTAGCCCCATCGTGCTCTGTCAACTCCCCAAGATCTGGAAAATCGTCAATCTCAGTTGCTTGACCATCGTGGTTAACGAACATTAACTGACCCTTCTTCTTCCAATCTTGGGGTAGTCTCTTCCTACCATCTTAAGATGCCTTATGCGCAGACCCCAGCTTTGCCTCTATATCCAGAGCTTTCTTGCTAAAAGAAGCGAAGGTGTGCTGTTAGACATAGGCCTCGTCAACCAGCTTGGTCCTTACCTCTGCAGGTAGGCACCTTAGGTAATCCGTCAGGAGAACCTGCCGGTCAAAACGCACACCAGGTACCATGAGGAGGCGTTCTACGGTGTCCGTAAGCTCTCTAACATCCTTGAACCTTTTGAGCCCCTTGCGGATCATGCCACCTGTTGTAGACAGACCATACAAACTGTTCCAATGTCTGAGCCTGAGCCCAGGCATCGAAATCCTGACCGTAGCCCTGCTGCTGCATTAAGCCATTCAACCAGCGAGCTGCTGACCCCTCTAGAAAGGAGGCAGCCACTACAACTTCCTGCTCTGGCCTTGTGAGTTTGTGCCTCACACAAGTAGGCACAGTCCTCACCCAAGTGTCCAAGTCTTCCTCCTGCTTCCTATCTCCAGAGAAGGGCTTGGGACTCATCAGAGGTATCTTAGGCATCCACTGCATAGGCTGCATGGGCCCAAGGGCTTGTTGCAGCGGCCGCATAGTCACTGAAACAGGCTGTTGCACACTAACCTGGGCTTGGCTTGACAGTGGGACTGTAGTTACCACTGTCGTGGATGGTACGGTTGAGACTCTTTGAACCGGACCACTAGTTGCTGCTAAACCACCTGGATGGGGCATGCCAAACTTTGGAGAAAAGGTTTGTCTCATGGGTCGCGGCATCGTTTAAGGACCCGCGCCTACAGGGGGAACTACAACAAACTGCGGCTGCCTCATGACTGGACGAGGAGCCTGGAGTGCATCCATAATTTGTTTCTAGCCTGCCACTAGATCAGTCAACAGTTCCTGTTGAACTGCCTGCGCTTCTGCTATAGATAGGACACCATTACGCAGCACGCGTCCAACGGACTCGAATGCCGACTCATCTAGGTCCTCTAGTCTGCCTAATGCCTCTGCCCTATCCCCTAATCTGGCCTTCCTCAAGATTGCTTTTGTTCTCCTCTCTGATGCTTCGTCCAACTGCCGCCGTAACTCATTCTGAAGTTCTTCCGCTTTCTGGATTTCTATGTCCTCAGGTGTGTGAGTTAAGCCGGTTGGCTGACTTGCAAGCCAACAGATTGACTAACTGTACCCAATCCACCTTGTCCAGCCCCTGACGAAGAAGACTGGGAGATGGACTGCGATGTTGAAGAGAAGGAAGCCATTGCAGCCACTACGCTGGCTACTGCGTCCCTATTCCTCCTCGCCGCTGCTCTCTCCCTAGCTTCCCTTCGTAGTCTCCTCTCTTCTCCTGGACCTAACTCCAAGAAGGTCAAAGGTTGACTAGGAGCGGTTCTCCGTGTGGGTCTAATGCGTTGCAATAGCCTTCGCTCCTCCTCACCGTTGTCTTCACTCATGAGCTACGGTGTGTGTGATCTAAACTAGAACTCACACTAAATCCTACCTTAGCTTGACACACACCCGTCGGTGATATACAACTATTATTGGTCGGCGGGAACAGAAACAATTAGGTGATATAGTCACGATTAATATCTGGCCCCCCTTGCGTACAAGCGTAATCGTGGTGGGGGCGCGCGAAGCATGCCTCTGGTGTTTCGGACCTGGAAAGCCAATTCTCACCCTATCTGGCCCTCCCCACGTAATATCATGGCTTGGGAACAAAATACCCACTTCTTGCCCTACGCGGCCCTCGCCACGCAACTACGTAGCCATGATCTTTGTGGGGCCGCGCGCCCCCCAGCTTTGGGAACAGAAAGGCCACTTCCTGTCCTTTGTGCCCCCCCCCCCCGCCTGCCCCCACACGTGCACGCAATGATGTTCATGGCGGGGGCAAACGGCCCACTTCCTGCCCTATCCGGCCCTCCCCGCGCGTGCGCGTGATCATGGCAGGCTGCTTCGCTGGAGGCAGTACCTGATTGGCTCCATGGTGTTCTTCGGGACATGCGCGGAAATGCTTATGGCCGTCGGGTTTTCGGCCTCGCTTCTTCTGTCGGATGTCGTTTCTTTCGGGGCGGACACAAATTGAAATGATGATTTTGTCAAGTCATCCTTGACTTTTCTTTCCCCCTTTCTCTTTCTGGAGTGCGTGTTCGGTCATGTTCGCCGACACATAACCCCACAACGGACGCACGATTCTGCCAGACTTCCCGTAAACTTTTCACTCCCACACCGCGGAGTGATCTGAGTCACTAGGCACAAAAGTTGCTTGGCCTTTTCTCTGCTTGTTTCGTCCTTTTTTTTTTTTTTTTTTTTTTTTTTTTTTTTCCCCTGTCCTTCCCCTTATCCCTTTGTGTGTGGAAGGGACGGAGATGGGACGGACTTTTGAGGTGTCGAATTTTGTGGGGGCAGCAGATACCGCGCACTG